AGATGTGTCACCGCGCAATCATTTGATTTTCATTCCATGTCAAGCGTTGTACGCTTATTTTCACTTGTGTTTGGAGGTAAATCCACTTTAGTTTTAAATAGTTTTAGCAAACAATTTCAGTATCTGACATAAATAAAATTTTACTTTGAAAATCTGAAAAAAGCAAACAAATAGACAACGAAATATAACTGTTATTATCTATGTATTCTGAATATGCACCCAGTACTATTAGAGTCCATTAGACGATTAGAAATTGTACAATCTGGCAATGTATTGAATCGAAATTCAAATGAAAAAGACAGAGAACAATTTTACGGTTGATATCATGTGACAATTGATCTTTCTACACTACTTATATAATAAAATTTAGGATTTTCATTTGTTTATTCGCAAGATTGTCTTCGAGAAACATTTCCTAACGCCAATAGAGAAAAATGAGGCTACTGTTTTCATAGGAATGCGAGAATAATCATGGACATTTGTTTCAAAATATTTGGAATTTATTTACATACCAAAATAGCACTCTTTTTGCTTATGAAAAATTTGAAAATGGTTTTCAAAATATCTTTTGATGCTTCTACTTGAGAAATCTTATTGAAAATCTTTTCCACGTAATTCGCCTGATTTTTTAAGTAAAAAAGTATTTTTCAACAGAAAACATATCAATATGAGTTTAGCTTCAGAATTTTTAAGGATACACTGTAGGCATTATAAAATAAAACAAAGACAATAGTTATAAGCAGTAGTGGATTGATTTCAATGAAAACTATTGCCTCTAAAAGAGTAATTTGAACAGCAAAACAGATCAGAGAACAAAAAAATATTCATTGTATAATTATATTATTCATATGTTCAATTTTTTCATGTTAGGGACATACAATAGCTTTGCTCAAAGAATGGAATGAACTGCACAGTGGTACAAGTGCTCAAACGTGTCAGATAATTAATGCATTTGATGATTTTTTATCAAATATAAATTATCCACATTCAATCCATCGCCGAGTAAAATGTTTTCGCAAATTTAATGATTGGAAGGCTAGTGAATTACGTTTATTTTTACTTTACTTGGCATTACCATTTTTATTATATTTTTCTTCTTATTTTTCTCCATTACTTGTCTATCATTTTTCATTGTATGCTATTTATGTTCGTACATTATGCAAATTCGATGAACGACAACATGTTTATGATGTACGTCCATTTATAGAAACTCATCTTCAAAGATTTTCTGAATTTTATAAGTCGAAAGAACTTTTATCTACACATTGCAACGTACATCTTTGGCAACAAGTCATTCGCCATGGCTCGTTGAGTTCAACTAGGTATGATTAGCTCATTTACTATTTGTAATTAAAAAACACTGTACTAGTTTGGTTGGGTTGAAGACAAGCGTTAAGTCATTTCTTAAAGGAATGATTGATTTTCACTTCTTGCTGTTAGAAATCTGAAGCAAGAAATATAAATATCTTTAGAGAAAAGTTTGTTCAGATCGAGCTTTTTATGTCAATTGAAAAGTTTCTGCATGTATTCGAAGCGAAAGCTTTGTCTTGAAAGTTTATAAGACTTTATCGAATTATGAGTGGTCATTATTCATTCCTTGATATTTTTTTCATACTTAGTATCTCTTGTATCCAAGGCTCATCTATAGATGAATGACATTTATTTAACTAAAGTTATTAATTTTCAAACACATATCTGCCATAATTCTTTTTGCAGCATGTTTAGTACTGAGTCATGTTTACACGGTCTTTATAAATTGTCTCATGGCACAAGAAATTTAGGCCAACAAATTGCTTATTGGTACACAGTTCATCGTGCGATTCATTCGATGTCAATTGAAAATCAATTAAACATTGATGATCATGGAAAATTTTTAGATGGCTATATAGATGAACAAAACTTTGATGAATCTTTCTCGCTTTTTTTCTCTTGTTCATCCGATGAATCAGTTATTTTTCGTTCTCGGTATAAAATCAGTCTCATTGTATATCATTCACTCTCTTACTCTTTCCGGAAGCAGTCATATAGCTTCAATGTTTGTTTTGATAATTGTTCTTGTCAACAACAAAAGTGTTATGGGAAAATATTGTTTTTCTTTTCATATCGAGACAACTTGTACATGTTTCTGTCGTCTTACCTATGCTCTTCATCTTACAATTTTTCATCGGCTATT